CCATGCTCTTGCCCCTCCCTTCTCCACAGCATTTGTCTTTAATTGCAGCTTATTTTTTCTTTAAATTACCAGCTTTCCACCAAAAAGGATGATTAACTATCTTTCAAGATTGCTTGTGTGTGTGATTTCAAGGTCTGGCCAGCCTCGTGGATAGCATCTGGAAGTGCCTGCCTTCTTTCACGTGATAGCATCCCAGGCCTTCTCTAAATCTAGGCATGGTCAGTGGCCCTGTGGAAGCCCACGGCTCCACTGGTGGTTGTAGTATTACCTGGCCATGGCTCAGAGTTAGCTTGGAATGGGTAGCTTTTGTGGGAGTCAGTGCTTTAAGTTTTTCCTCTGTCCATGATTAATCTATCCGAAACTTTTATCGCATCATGAGTTTCCTGGCCTGTCTCAATCTGCTTATCATATCCATGAACCTGTATGTGTTCCAGTTACAATGTAGGTGTCCACCCACGTGGTAATGGACCTATTTTATGCCTGTACTTATCCTTTAAGAAACATATTAGTACTAGGTTCCAGGTCAGTGTCTCTTGTAAACAGCTAGAGTGATTTACTTCTCCAGTTAAATCTTTGCTGTTGGTAACAGAAAGCAAAGATGCTTTTATTTTTTTATGACATTTTTTAATCTCGCCAGTTGCAAAAATCTATGACTTTGTTAGGATCCAGTGATAGTAACAGTTTATACTGTCGATTTGGGGAAATGTTGATACAGAAAACCTAAACCTTGTGGTAGTTCGACAGTAGCAAAGGTTTTAGTATAACTGATTAAAACTAATCAAATGTTGTATATTTTATTTATTTATTTATTTACTTTTAGGATTATTTGGTTGACAGCATGTTATTCTGAGTTTTGTCGTATCCTGACCTTTTGAGTTTAAAGATACGGATTTTCCAAGTTGTGTGGCATTGTACTTGGGCCTGGATAAGCGGGAGGCAGCTCCTGGCTTCTGGTTCAGATCCTTTTGACAACTCCTTGTTCTCTGAAACTGTTTCCTCATCCAAAGAAACATCTGGTGCCCAACCTCCTAAGATGATTGTCACAGGATTTTGTGTCTTCGTCAGTAATAAAGCATCCATGATGTTGGAGGACGTGTTTCTCTTTTGTTGCTTTCCTGTGGTTGCTTATGAAACATGTTGCTTTGAGAAAAATCTTGCACAAACTTTTTAAGTGCGACGTAAACAGGAACCTAATCTTTAGAACTGGATCGAGAATCTCAGTAAAGTTCTCCGGTAGGGTCTGTGGCTTTATATGGCAAAGCTGACTGTCTCGACGGCAGAGCAGATTCAGCTTCTCTGCCTAGGGAGCTCTGGTGGTGCAGTGCCTAAGGCACTTGACTGCTAACCAGAAGGCTGGCGGTTCAAACTCACCAGTCACTCCTCGGAAGGAAGACTGGGCAATCTACTTCCACAGAGATACCACCTCAGAAACCCAGGGAGAAGTCCCTGTGAGTGAGAACTGACTCGATGGCAGTGCGTTTGGTTTGGTTTTTTGGCGTAGCATAGGAGGGTGTTGCTAGGTGCAGAAAGGAGCCACAGGGGCATGCAAGAGCCGTGGTAGGCCAGCTGCCCTCACCCAGAGCTCAGAATGTGTAGGAGATTTCCAGAACATTGTCCCATCTCCCTGTGGAGCAGA